TTTTAAGGATGAGATAACCCCTCTCCTAAAGGACATTATGAACAATATAATGATTAACAAAACGATTCCCAAATCATGGGGAACAGCCAATATTATTCTAATACATAAGGACGGCACAAACCCAACAGAAGTTAAAAACTACAGACCCATATCCCTACTTAACAACGACTACAAATTATTCACAATAATTCTATCAGAGAGACTAAAACTTTTCATGAAAGACTGGATTACAAAAGAACAATCAGGCTTCCTCCCTAACAGATTCATTAAAGACAATATCAGGATAGTACTAGATACAATCGAATATTATGAAAAACACCCAGAAAAACAAATGGCTCTACTATTAATAGATGCCGAAAAAGCATTCGACAAAGTAAATTGGAAATACTTAAAATTGCTGCTACAAGAATTAGACTTCGGTTATAGCTTCCAAAACGCAGTGAATGCGATTTATGAGAGACAAGAAGCCACGTTAATAATAAATGGTCAAGAATCAATTCCATTCAAAATTACACAAGGGACACGCCAAGGCTGCCCTCTTTCCCCACTCCTCTTCATCCTAATAATTGAAACCCTAATCAGAGATATAAATAACGGCAAACACCTATCAGGAATGAAAATCCAAAAACAGCAGTATAAATTAAGAGCATATGCAGACGATGTCGTCTGCATCGTTGAAAATCCATTAGAAAAAATTACTGATTGGCTAACTAAAATTGATAAGTTTGGAAATTTAGCTGGCTTCAAATTAAATAAACAAAAAACTAAATTTTTAGTCAAAAACATGGACAAAAGATCCAAAGAAAAGCTACAGGAAACGACAGGGATAAAGATTGAGAACAAAATTAGGTACCTTGGAGTAATGATAACACAAAGTAATACCAAGCTCTTAAAGAATAATTATGAACACCTATGGAACAAAATCCATAAAGACCTAGAGAGATGGAAGTATGAAAATATATCACTGTTAGGGCGGATAGCTATATTAAAAATGAATGTTCTTCCTAAGCTGCTGTTTCTTTTTCAAACACTACCCATAATTAGAACGGATCACCTCTTCAAAAAATGGAATAAGGAAATTACTAAATTCATATGGCGAAACGGAAAACCAAGAATAAACTATAAAATACTAACAGATGACAAAAATAGAGGAGGCCTTGGACTCCCCAATTTCAAATTATATTACGAGGCGTGCAACTTGATTGGAATAAAAGACTGGGTCACTTTAAAAAATAGAACGTTATTAACCTTGGAAGGACATGATCTGAGAACAGGGTGGCATGGGTATCTTTGGCTTAATAAAAGTAAAATCGAAAAAAACTTCAACAATCATTTTATAAGAACAGCCCTATTCAAGACTTGGGAAAAATATAAGCCCAGGCTTTACAACAAGACCCCAATGTGGCTATCGCCAATGGAAGCCAGACATAAAAGAGACATGGGAGAAAGAAATTGGTTGAATTACAAGCAAATACTTAAAAAATCTACGAGAGGAGAGCTCACCCTAAAATCCTTTGAAGAAATCAAGCTTATGGACAAGAATTTAACCTGGCTACAATATATACAATTCCAACAAAACTTTAAGGAAGATAACAAATCTGGCTTCTGCCAAGAAGAAAACTTCTGGGAGTCAATACAGCTGATCAAAATCATATACAAAAAACTGTTAGGATGGTTTACGGAAGAAGAACAAGTCAAAAATTGCCAAATACAGTGGGCAAAAGACATAGGTCATAGCATATCCTCGGAACAGTGGGAAACAATCTGGAACAAAAAACTAAAATACACAGCGGCAAATGATATAAAAGAAAACTGGTACAAGATGTTTCACCGCTGGTATTACACTCCTGAAAAACTATCAAAATTCAACAGAGGGATATCTAATTCATGCTGGAAATGCAAGAAAGAAAAAGGAACTTTTATACACACATGGTGGTCTTGTAAACAAATTAAAAAATATTGGAATGAAATCCACAAAATATGCCAAATAATTTTAAGAACCAAATTCCCCCTAAAACCAGAAACCTATCTATTAGGAATATCAGAAGCAAGTTTAACCAAAAACCAAGACAAAATGCTATTTCTGCTCAGCACAGCAGCAAGACTTCAAATTGCAAAAATGTGGAAACAAGAAGAGACACCGACAGCCGACGACTGGATAATTAAAGTCTTCGYTTTAATACAAATGGATAGCTTATCACAGAGACTAAACAACARCCGAGAAAAAACAGACTYGTCAGGCTTCAGAGACTTCACCAACCAGAGGAAGATTCCATTTTTAATAGATTTGTCCACCCTCTGAAATCATAATTCAAAGTGAACTCGAGAGGACTCTGGCGAACCTGTTATAACCGAGAATGAAAGTTTTTTTTTCTCTTTCTCTAATCCTTAGACGACTTTGGGAAGTTTCAACCATTTTAAGACTGTGTTGGGGAGGTGGTGGGTATCACTTGTGATGTCAGGACCTGGTACAGGTTCTATGTTACAAGCGCCATCTGAAGAGGACAAGATTCTATATCTGCATCCCTCACCCTCCCTCCCAAATCACCCCCCCTTCTTTTTCCCAACCCCTTCCCCATACCCCCCCTGCACCTCATGTCTGTATGTATATATGTAAAATACACAATAAAAATAATAATAATAAAAAAAAACAAACAACTATAAAACTTGCCCCAGACATGCGGAAATAATAACGAAACAATTTCAAAACAATAACGAAACAAATACAAAACGAATTCGAAACAATTACGAAACAAATTTAAAAATTCGTTTCGTTTTTTTAGTTGCTCCTGAATGGTTCGTTATCACTTCGTTATAAAAAAAATAACGAATTACGAAATTACGAAACGAAACCGCCCAGCCCTACCTATTACATATTCACAATCCCATCATAGCCTCCAGTTTAGGAAACACATGTTGTTGTTTGACTTCAATTCACTTCCAATAAGGTGACCCTACTACCATAGGTTCTTCTGGGACTGAGGGTATATGCCTATGGGTGCATCCACACTGAAAATTAAATGAGGGCTGAAATGTGATTCGTAATTCATAAAGTTTGGGAGGACATGTGTGTCCCATTTTGATTTGTAATCGGATCTCCAAAGCTTCTTAATTGCTTCGTTAAGATTCATTAGTGGCAAAGGGGAAAATTGCAAGACTCATTTCTTTGACATTTGTATGGCTATCAGGATGAAATGTGGCACACTGGTAGGCAACAATTTTAAACCTGCCACATTTCAGAGTATTTCGGTATCTATTTATCATGGCAGAAGCGCATTGAGGGTACATTTATCATGTATTTAAAAACATAAAGTTAAAAACTCTCTTACTGGGGAGACCCTCCTAGAGTCCGTATTGACCACTTTGACCAGAATCTGGCCACTTGGAGTGCCTCTGGTATCGTTGTGAGAAGGTCCTCCCTGGTGCATGTGGCAGGGCTCAGGTTGCATTGTACTAGGGGGTCTGTGGTTTGCTCTCCTCTGCACTTGCATGTCATGGACTCCACTTTGTGGCCCCATTTCTTAAGGTTGGCTCCGCATCTCGTGATACCAGAGCACAATCTGTTCAGTGCATTCCAAGTTGCCCAGTCTTCTGTGTGCCCAGAAGGGAGTTTCTCATTGGGTCTTAGCCATTCCTTGAGGTTCTGGGTATTCTATTGTTTATTGCTTCATAGTCGTAATGACTGTATTGTTTAAATTGTTTTTTTATTTTAATTCTAATGACTTTGTGGTTGAGCTAGTTCTTAACTATGTTACTAGACACTTGAGCATTTTTTGGTTATGATTGTTATGTTGAATGTTTTTATGTTGAATGTTTTTATATTGAATGTTTTATCTTGTGTATAAGCTATTTTAAATCGTAAGTCGCTCAGAGCACTTTGGTGGAGAGTGACTAATTAAGAAATAAAGTGGTGATGATGATGATTTCGTGCCTTTTCTCCCAGTGGCACAGTGGCTTAAATCTCTGAGCTACTGAACTTACTAACAGAAAGGTTGGTGATTCAAATCCGGGGGGGGGGAGGGGGGCGAGGTGAGCTCCCGCTGTTAGTCCCAGCTTCTGCCAACCTAGTAGTTCAAAATCATTCAAATGTGAGTAGATCAATAAGTACCACTCCAACAGGAAGGTAACAATGCTCTATGCAGTCATGCCAGTCACATGACCTTGGAGGTGTCTACCGACAACGCCGGTTGTTTGGTTTAGAAATGGGGATGAGCACCAACCCCCAGAGTTGGACACGACTATACTTAATGTCAGGGGAAAACCTTTACCTTCTTCCCAGTTTGAGGCTGAACGCGACTTCCAAAATTTAAAACAATCATAAGGGGCACCTCAAGAAAGGAATGCGGTCATCACTAATAGTCAACACAGATTGATCAAAAACAAGTCATGCCAGACTCATCTGATCTCTTTTTTTGATAGTTACAAGCTGGGTAGATGCGGGTAATGCCATGGATGGAGCGTACCTGGATTTCAGGAAGGCCTTCAACAAGGTCCCCCATGACCTTGGAAACTAGTCCAATGTGGGCTAGGCAAAACTACAGTTAGGTGGATCTCTAATTAGTTAAACGAACGAACCCAAAGGGTGATTCTCCGCAAGGCTTCCTCCTCTTCATCCTGGAAAGAAGTGGCGAGTGGAGTGCCATCAGCAGGGTTCTGTCCTGGGCCCGGTCCTGCTCAGGATCTTAGATGAAGGGCAAGAAGGCGTGATCATCAAGTTTGCAGTTGAGACCAAATTGTGAGGGAGAGCTAATACTCCAGAAGACAGGAGCAGAATTCGAAACGATCTCAACAGATTAGAGCAGGCATCCTCAAACTGTGGCCTTCCAGGTATTTGGGCCTTTAACTCCCAGAATTCCTGACAATTGAACAAGCTCGTTAGGGCTTCTGTGA